GGGGGGGAGTCTTAAGTACAGTATGTTATTCTACATCTCCATAACCGTGCATGGCTGTGTTTAACCTCTACTCACCCGGGGAGAGTCGTCCGAGCATGCGCTCCCTTTCTTTGTAGCTTCACATCCAAAACAGCAACGCACGTCGACATCTGGCTGATTCCCCGTACCACTGAGCAGCTAGGTCCTTGTGGGACCTTGAAGGTAATTGTTAAAGAGAGGGACAACTTTTTTTTATGGCATTTATAAAATATACAATGCGCTTTGAATGGGCTCGCAGCCAAGGAGTATGGTGCGAGAGTTCTGCCGCTCTTGAATTAATTTTAGTGTTCTGAATTTGATCGTTCGTGCTGAACTTTTAAATTTGAATATGTTCCCAGTTTGTATGTGCATTAAATGCATGAGCCTGCAGCAAGCCCCAGACTCCGCAGTGCAGTCGGATCGTAGCCTGAAACTCTGTATCTTGATCATGAAGAACAGCGGTAAGTTTATGTGACAGCTTACTGTTGACGGCATAATTTGGGGGTCTTAAAGCAACAGTTGGTAGGTTTAATAAAAATAACTTTTTGTCATATTTGATCAAATTGTCACTATAGCCTGACAGTTGCACAGGAGACACACACAGAAAATACCCGGTTCCTCTGCCTCCTTTTCGTGATGGCATTTGCAAGATTCCACGATGCCCGAAGGCAAAGAACCAATCAGAGCAGAGAGGTCTCTGAGGCAGCTGTCAATCACCAATCTAGCTGTCAAACTAGGCAGCGCTGATCATCAGTGTTCATTTTGGCATCTACTTTAGATTTATTCTTTAGACAAAAATGCTTATTAGTTTTAGTCACAATTTGTATCCTTCAAAGTTTAAGGCTAGTTTTAGTCTGGCTGAAAACTCATTACAATGTTTTCGTTCTTCATTTTGATGACTGTTTGATGATTTAGTCTTAGTCCTGTGTCAAATTTGATTTATTTTAGATTTATTTTAGATTTTATTGAATATTTCAGTCAATCTAGTCGAGCCAAAACAATAATTGTACGATTTTAGTGAAACTTATTTCACATAAGATTTAATCTTGTCATTATCTGATGAAATCCAAAAGTGTAATGATTAAGACTGCAGCTTTGTAGGAATGGGCTTTTCAAGAAAAACTAACATTCAAAAATGAGCGGGAACTATTTGATCCTTCTTCAAAGATCCTTCTAGTATTTTGACTCAACTTAAAGCTGCACCAATCTTCTTCTTTTTTTTAAATAAACAATGTATCAAACAGAACCTGTAGATCAGTGGAACAATGTGAAACCATTGGCAGGACTGTGCATCGCGTCACCCACGCGGGCCTGCTTGTGCGTATGCATCCCTATGTGCGTGCGTGAGACAAACAAAACGGACGGATTTTGCTGGAATAAATCTCCGCGAGAGAGGGTGTTAACAAAGCCTGGGGGCCAAGATATGGAGGGCTTTTCACGGTGAAGTGGTACAGAACCGTGATTCACGGCCGCTGGTGTGCAGCTCCATTGTGATGGAGCCTCGCAGCTCAGATCAATAGTCATCAGAGCCCATCCCCACGCCGCGCTGCCATTAATAACCCGCACTGAGTAGCTGGATGCTCTTGCCTTGACCAACTGTTATCCTCCACCGTGCAGCCGACGCGACAGACCAGCATGTCAGCACGGAGATAGATGTGAGGGAGGGATCAACAGAGAGTCGGAAGATTCACTTGAACATCTTAAACATGCTAACGTGCTTTGCTACATTCCACCTCTGCCAGAACTTCCTCACAGATTCTTCTTCTTCTTGAAGCAGAAGCTAACAGTAAAAAACAAAATCGGATTCGGTGCCGAGGGCCCAAACCGCTGTGGTGCCAGAGCCAAGCTATGAAGGGCTTTCATATCTGGTCTCTGGTTTGGTACGTCTACGTGTTTGCGTCCCGGCACTGCTGCATTGCGGTGTGACTTTGTACAGTGCTTACAGTTGTATGTCATGGAGAGTGATGGCAGAGCAGAGACTTAAGGAGTCTACTCACACCAGCCTCGTTAAGGAACCATCCAGGCCTCCCGTTCATCAAACATACGCACACGCCATCTGCTCCAGTCGCAGGTGTGTGTGTGTGTGTGTGTGTGTGTGTCTGTGTGTGCACACAGGTATGTGTGGCTGTGACAGTGTAACAGCATTTATTGCCAATTAGGGATATTTTATATCGCCCAAACCTGTCCCCTGACTATGGACAGGGAAGTATTAAAAGAGTTGAAATTGGACAAAAATCATCTTTATCGCCATAGCAACCCGAGTCACTGGAGCCAAGCTTGACGCCCTCCTGACTTGCCACAGCAGCGACTGCGGAAGCATGCCCTGCTCAACCTGCCACATTAGATAGGTTAGCTAATGGTTATGGTGGAAGGAAAAATCTTGTTAAATGTCCTTGTTGAGTCTAATTTAAATTCCTTTTGCAGTCCTGCAGAGAAATATAACATTTCAGATGGACACCGTGCCTTTGACAGGGAGATTTTGATAATGCTAATTATCTCCCGCTTCCCTTCATTTGCTTTGGCGCAGCCCTCACAGGTGAGTCGACTGAATAAGTTAACGGGAAGGAGAGGCGAAGACTAGAAAAAGTCCTGCGGAAAATTGGTATGCATGGTTTGGATTCACCAGGGAGAAGGTCACTTCAACAACATGATAGGCCCTTTTAGACAATAGCAGGTTGAGAGAGAGAGAGGGAGGGAGGGAGGGGGAAGAGAGCGAGTGACAGAAAGGTGAGAGGGAAGAAGGGATGACACGGAGAGGTAATGCAGTAATGTGTCAGGAAGTCTGGATGTGCCGCCTCACCCCGTCCTGAGTGTGACAGCCCTGGAGGTGTGATAACCTTAAGTTCCCACGCGCACGTTACCCCAAAACAGTCGCATGCGAGCGCACACTCACATCCATCCCAGGGTATCCTCCTGGCCATGCGCGGCGTCGGTGGGGGAGTTAATCACCCATGTCCATGGCCTTTAGCTGCTCTCATTAGGGGTGAGCGGTGGAGCCGTACCTGATCCATTAGCAACGCTGCCGGTAATGACACTTCACCAGCACCGCCGGGCCCACGGCCAAGAAAGGATCCGCAGCCCCGGCGCAGCTCCTCCATTACCGCCTCCCGCTGCACACCGCCGCCACGCTTTTTTACCACTGGCAGGCAGACTGAGAGGAGAAGGAAGAAATAAGACAGAAAAAAGAATAAGGGATTGTACTTCCCTTTTCTTTTCCTTTCTTTCTTCTTGGACCGGAAAAGCAGCAGGGAGAGGAGGAGAGGAGAGGCAGCCTGGTGGCTTTTATCTGGGATCACATCGGTTGGCGCTGTACTGCAGCATTATCGGTCCAAGCCTCTTTGTCTTTGTCTGTCTCACACGGACACACACACCAACACACACACACACACACACTCACACACACATGCATGTATGTTCCCCACACCCAGCTGCACAACTTGTACATCCACCTGCACAGTTGGACGGACACATAGTGATAAGTCATCTTCTATGCACAGGCATGCACTAATTAAAAAGAAGCACACACACACACACACACACTGGCAAGTCAGGTTGACACTGGCGTGCAAGTTCACCACACACACACACACACACACACACACACACATTCACAGCAAGTCCCGGGAAAAAAGGAAAAAAACCTCACACAAAGTGCCGTGTCCTCATTCATATTGCATGTGAAAACCCCGTGGCTGTCATGTAACTGAACATGTGTCACGTCTGTAAAATGGCCATCATGGAGTGAGCCAGCAGCCAGTTAAAAGCCGGGGCAGGCATGTCTAAAGGAATATAGGCCACAGGCAACAGACCTCCTGCTTTCTCTGTCCTCTCTCTCTCTTTCCCTTCATTCCCTTTCAGCTTTATCTTTATATTTTTTATTGTTTTATCTTCTTCTCAGCTGTGGCCTAGTGCATTTGTCTGCCTGTGAAGTCTTTGGTGGAACAGCTGGACATCTCTTCCTCCTCCTTCTCCTCCGTCTGCCTCGCATACTCTCCTCTGCTCTGCTCTGCTCTGTTGAGAGAGCACACACATTCTTTTAGCGCCCTCCAAAGGATGCTGAGAGCACAGCAAGCTCACGTTCCCAGTGGTTTTTGGGGGATAATTGCAGTAAATTACACCTTTAGGCAATTGTGATGTCAGTGTTGGATATCTGATATCTGAAATGTGTGTGTTGCACCATGTAATACCTTTGTGTTGTGATGTGTGTGTGTGTGTGTGTGTGTGTGTGTGTGTGTGTGTGTGTGTGTGCAGGGGTATTGACATGCGTTTGTCTTGTGTTTGTGTTTCAGTACATGACTGCTGCAGCTGCCGCGGCATCTATGCAAGGGACCTACATTCCCCAGTACACTCCTGTGCCTCCAACAGCCGTCCCTGTCGAAGTAAGACCCACACACACACACATGCATGCACACGGTACTTCCTAACAGTCAGAAACGTGTCCAGGTTTACCCAAAAGGGGGACATCATTACGCCGGACAGCCCACTCACTTACACCCACGAGCGCTCACTTCAAAATTGCAAAGCACATCCCCACATCAACAGAACAAAACAGCCATTAAACAGACAGATTACATTTGCCGTAAATTGCCCGCTGAACAAATGGCCTCGCACCGCCAGCGAATAACGAGGGTGAAAACTGCAAGCAACGCAAGACGAGACAGAAGTTTTATAGTATTTTGGGAAAGACATTTGAAGTGCAGCGCAGAGTTCGTCACCTCCTCAGCGGCTGTCTGAGCTGCTGGCAGGTTTCGGAGCGGTCCAGCCTGAGGGATGATGAGCGTGGAAGGCAGGCGGGCCGGTCGAGGAGAGCCGGGGACGGATGTCTGGCGGCTGACAGTGCGGCCGTATTCAGATGGACTATCAGTTGTGTATCAGATGACAGGAGCTGAAGTGAGACACAGTGCCGGCGGTGCTGTCCCCCTCTCTCTCTCTCTCTCTCTCTCTCTCCCTTCTCCACAGCCAGTCAGGGCTGGTGGGTAGCTGGAACACACACACATCCGTCAGCCACTGTGCTCTGGTTAACCCACCAACCACGGACAATGACAGTTTCTGCTGACAGACCCATTAGTCCCTCCCCCCCTTCCTCTCTCATACCCCCCACCTCCTCCCAAGCTCCCCTGTCCTTTTGAAAGTTCCTCATGAAGGAGTGGGAAGGAGGAGACAAATTTGTAGTTGCAGCGTAGCCCGTGGCGCCTCGTACCTATTTCATCCTCCCCGCCGTCCTCTCTCTGCCAGCGTCAGCAGCGGGGCGTACGTCGCTGCATCAGCCAGTGTCTGGAGGGCTGATGTATGGACAGGACGCGGTATCCTTGAGAGCTTGTTAAAGGTGATTGAGATGACTCAATGATGGGTAATGCTGGACACATGTTTTACCCCTAACATAGATGTAGAAGTCTGCAAGCAATTTAGCACAGATCTTTTTTGTTATTCGTACATATTCGACACCCATACACTAATTCCTGTGTCTTATCACAGTAACGTGATGTTTCTTCTGTTCTTTGTCCTGTATTTTATTTAACCACATTGCTCCCAATATTTATATTTAATATGAATATGTTTAATTGCTGTAGCACACTTAAGTGGTGTGTTAAAATTCAAAGAAGCCTTTTTGTACTGCCGCACCTTTACAAGTTATAAATGGAAGATGTCACCGCAATTATTCTGTTTGCATTTCTGACAGGCATCCATGAAAATGGCTTATCTACAGTATGAGTTCAGAGTGATGGACCTGTCAGTCTGAGAAGTTAATAACCCCAACAGTTTTATTTGGTCTAACTTTTATGTCATGTCAAAACTGTTTTGGTTTTATTATGTTATATATTAATATTTATTATTTTTAAAGCCAAAATGTACAAGTTTAGACCCTTGATTCAAGTAAGAAAAAGCTCCTTTCACAATTCCAGGACAGAAGGACCTTCAGTAGTACACATGCATGTGCAGAGCAGTAGCAGAAGTCGATCCAGTCACGTACTTTTCCAGCAGGAAGTGCCGAGCTTTTGCAGGGCGATGCTTGTTAAAGTGCAGAGCTGACACATTCCCCTCCGTGCCGTGTCCTCAGGGAGTGGTGACGGACGCCTCCGCCCAGACAGTGGCTCCCTCGTCACAGGAGGTGGCTGGCCAGCAGCAACAGATCCAGGTGGACAGTGCTGTCGACCATGTTCCTGCTTACTCATACCAGTCCAAGTGAGTCAAACAGTGGAGCGGTGCAGCTTGCTGTCGGCCATTGTAACATGGCCTTCTCTCCTCTCGGGGTGGTTTTTAGGCACTGTGCCCGTCTGTCCGGTCCACTCTTGTGAACACGATATCTCAGGAACGCCCGGAGGCTTATTTCTTATCACAAACATCCAATTGGACTCAAAGATGAACTGAAAGCAAAACACATATTTGGCCATAACTCAAAAATCCATGATGTTAATTATGACAATTTCACACAAATGTCTAAGAGGATAAAATGATGAAGTGATTTTAGACAGACATGGATGTAAACTGTAACATGACGGAGGCGGAGGCATACGACCCTGAGGCGCTAGCTCTAGTTATTAATTATTATTCATCTGTTTTTCAGTTACGATGATTATTTATCACATTATTTTTGTTTTAAGCATAAAGCATAAAGCGTGGGCAATATGTATTGTGAGACAATATATATTTCTCATCAGAGACTTTGCCCTTCCTTTTTGAATACATAACTTCTGTCACCAACACGTCTAAGTAAATCAAACTGGTATAGACGGGCTTCCTGTCTGTGAAGTATTTGGTAATCATAAAAAATGTTTTTTGGGTACAAAAGCAGTCAAATTGCAAGTTATTCCTCTTTGACAGATTTTTCTGTGAAGCAAAGCTCTACGAGGTACTGAGCTAAATAAAATGAGAGCGCTAAGAGACGCAGTGGGGCCGTTGTAAATGACTCAAATTATTCCTGGCTGCTGTTTGTCCTTTGCTCGTCATCTTGGAAGCACTTTCTGCTTTTGTGACCCGATCAGATCCGTTTAACGTGCTCCTTTTTTTGCCTCAGTCTGCTGACGGGGCTGTCAGCTGTCAGCTCTGTTGCCTTTCTGTGTTTGTGATATTGGTCTTTGATTACAACGCCCCCCCCTCTCACTCTCTCCCCCGCTCTGTTTTCTCCTCTTTCATCAGATAGCGACGGCCTGAGCGAATGTTCCTGTGACAGCGTTGCCTTGAGACAGAAGGTGGCTGCACTGTGTATGTGAGGAAAAGAGAAAAGAAAGAGAGATTGCTTCCAGATTGCCCAGGCACCAAAAAAGAGACACTTTTTTTCATTTCCTACCTGGCCTACGAGAAAAAAAGAAAATAAAAAAGGAGAGAAGAAGTGCAAAGAGGATGGGGATGGGAAAATTGCTGGGCACAGTGCAAAGAAGTGAAATTGTTTAGTCTGGGAACCTGCCGGAAGGGCTGGGCTGAAGCTTGAAAAGTTTCTCAAAGAAAATTCTCAACCAATAAAAACAAAAAAGAAAGAAAAAACAAAAGAAAATAAATAAAGAAAAAGGTTGAATGCGCAGGTAGGCGATGAAGTTTATTTTGTAATTAGAAAACGGGAGACAAGTTTGAGATACACACAGAGATTGTCTTCCTCAGATATTAAGCTACAGTTTCTTTTCACTCTTTTTTATGTTCTAGTGTTACATTTTACTTTTCTAGATATATTCAAAAACAAAGTGTTTTTTTTTTCCTTTCTTGAATCTTCATGGCCTTAATTTGAAGGGCGGCAGAAACTTTTTACAGAGTTTAAGTCTGACGTCTGGTTAGAAAAAAATAAAAAATAAGCAAACGAAATCCGTTTCTTGGACCGCTCGGAGGTACAAGACACTGGAGGAGTCGTTCTAAAGAGGAAAAAAGAATCTATCACGTAAGCTGTACAGATTTAATAGAGAAGAGCTTTTTTTCTTTTCTTCATTAGAAGAAAACTTTGATAATTATTATGTCAGAGGTAACTAAGTGTCAGAAGAAAACAAAATGTCTGTTGGGGAAAAAGACTTGTGGCGGGGGGGGGGGGGGGGGGGGGGGGAGAAGAAGAAGCTTTGAAGAGATTTTTCACAGTGAGGAAAAAATGAAAACATAAGAAAACATGCTGCATTGTGGATGCAGTATGTTGCAAATGCTGAACTTGTTTTTTATTATCATTATTATTATTTTACATGGCAAAGTTGCTGCCAATGACATTAGTGCTTTTTATCTGCCACATTTGACCTTTTTTATGAGCTTAAAGATGTTTTTAGCCCGCTTTGCTTGTCACACTGCAAAAAAGGAGGTGAAAAAAAGAAGAAAAAAAATGATAAAATTTAAAAAGAAATAAAAAAAATTCTGGCAGTGAAATACAAACAGTAGATTGAGTAGGAGCTTACGGTTTAAACCAATCAGTGCAAAAGCAATAGAGGAAATTGTTGACAATTTCTGTAGTCTTTCCTAGTTGTGGATCAAATGCAGCCCATGGACGGCCATTTTTATACCAAAGATGAAGAGACACTCTGAACCAGAGTTTTGTTTTTATTTTGTTTTCCTTTCTTTTCTTTTTCATTTTTCAGTTAGATTTTGTTGTTGTTGATGTTGTTGTTGTTGATGATGTTAATGTTGATATTGTTGTTGCTGATGTTGCTGTTGTCGTTGTTTTTTATTTGACCTCGATGGCCGGACCAGTCCTAACTATCCTTCCTAACGTCTTCTTTTTCACCGGGTTTAAGCTAGTTTTCCACGGTTGTCTCACACACACACACACACACACACACACACACACACACACAAACACACACATTTCAAAATACACACACTCACTGTACAAACACACACATCAAACAGTATTTAAAGTGTGATGCAACCAGTGGCAGTCCTACCAAAAGTCCTTTCTCTTCATCTCCTGGTCTTGTCTTTTTCTTCATACATCACTTCACTTTTACGATGCTTTCTCACACCGTCGGTGCATTCCACCTCTCTCTCTCTCTCTCTCTCTCTCTCTCTCTCTCTCTCTCTAACAGATCTTGCAGGGAAAAACTTTAGGAAACAGGTTGTGGAAAGCTCCGTGGTTGTCGAGGTGGTTTTTGCCCTCAGTCTCTTTATGTCTTTAATACGACCGTACAACTCAACCATTGCTCTGCATACTGAGCTTCAGTGTCGATCTCCCTGTTAATCTCTGTCATGTATCACCAAACCCAGGTTTGAGTGTTTCCCTGCCCAGAATACCAGATGAGTGGTGTTTGCTGCATATTGGACATCAGGTAAGCTGTTTTTGAGTCTTTAGCAATGATTGCATAAACTTTACGGCACTTAATGGTATTTACAGAGCATATTTAATATAATCGTGAAGAAGTAATTGAATGATTTGACATTTTTCCGAATTATCCTTATCCGCTTTCTTCCAGAGAATTAGATGAGAAGTACACTTTCACTCTCTCGTCTGTACGGTAAATATGAAGCTACTGCCAGCGGCCGGTTAGCTTAGCTTAGCACAAAGGCTGGAAACAGCCAGCCTGGCTCTGCCCAAAAGGGGACAAAATCCACCTACCAGCACCTCTAAAGCTCAATAATTCAAACATACGTTTTTGGTTTTCTCGATCCGTACAAGAAACAAAGTGTAAAAGCGACACCTTGTGGTTTTACAGGCCGTTACGTGCCGGACTGTTTCTTGGCCAGGAGCACCGTGTTGCGTCGTCGTCACCGTGAGCTTGACACGCAACCAGCAGAGACTCCAGGAAGTTACTGCGAAGACATGCTGCACAATTCCTTTAAAAACGCATCCGAACAGAAGAAAGACCCGTTTGCATTGTAAGCCAACCATCACTCTGTGACACCCACAAGAAGTGTGTTTAAAAGGACTGATCATTTGCAGGGGAGGTCGGTAACTAGGCTCCTCACCAGCCACATAACAAGACGTTGATGGCAGCTTTTTTTGTGTGTCTGCTCTGCTGGCCCATGCCCGCCCGCTCTGCCCCACTGTAGAGCTGCAGCGCTAAAAAGACCCCGTTCTCCTCCCTGCTTCACTGGCACCATTAATGTGCCACGGCCAAGCCAGGCTCCTTTTGCTCTCGCCCCCCCTCCTCACTCTCTCTCTCTCTCTGAGGTTTCTTCTCTTTATTGGATGGTGCAGAAGCAGAACCACAAACCAATTTCAGTCACTCTCACAATGAGGCTTGACGGGCCCAATTTGTCTCCCTCCGGGGCAATAGGATCCACTCCAGTGTCCCTCGAAAGACCCCTTTCTTTTAGACAGAGAGGGAGCTTTTTGTTTGGCCACGTTTGCACTCGAGCTCTCGCAGTTCACGTGACTCATTCAAATCTCCACTCCAGCGCTGCAGTTTGGGGCCACGGTGGCGTGTTGTGCACATGAGGGGCGAGCTGCGTCACCATGCGGGGCGATGTTTGTAACCAACAATCCAATTGTACGTCGAGTGCCTTTTAACGAAGCTTCCAAATAATTCCAAATTATCCATGTGATAGTTCAAAAAGCACATGGAAGAGCTCGTTTGAGTCAGTCGTGCTGAAGTAATGCTGCACAATACGGAAGCTACTCTGTGGTGCTAAAGAGGAAGCAGTCTCGGGCTCGTGCCTTCATTGCGTCCGCTGATCTCTGTGACGAGCCGGCCACTGTTTAACACTCGGCCGTCAACTCTCTCTTAACAGGCCACCTGTCCACTTAAAGACACACATAAGAAACGGGCACGCGGGTTCCTAAACCACACTGTTAAAGCCATACCCACATTTTCTCTTCCCTTAGTCGGTGTTAATACCTGCTTATTTACGGAGGTCAAAAGCCAAATGTGTCATTCAAAGTGTCTCTCAATGACTGTTCAGCTGTTTATTGTCCAATCAAATCAACACCTGCCCGTTTCCTTTCGTCCGATCTGCCACTCAACATCTGCATGTACTCGCCTCGAGTGTTGGGTTTTAGAGCTCCTCCACACATCGCCCATGTGTTCGTCATTGTTGCATGAACTTCATTTCTGAGTCGTTCCAAGTAACTTTACCAGTTTTAAGCTAGTGTGTGTGTGTGTGTCAGTGTGCATGCGTGTACAGTTCTCCTACTCAACAGTTCAACTTTTAGCGAATACAGTGGCACATACAAAGCTATAACAGAGTTCTCCAGACTTTAACGGCTGCTGTTTTATAGAGTACAGGAGACATTTTTGAAGCCGAATAGGACTCGTGATGCAGGAGTTGCACATCGGAGAGCAGAGCATCCCACAAATGTCCTGAGATTCAATAGTAATGGCATTATGGGAAAATGGGATTACAAATAGCCAAGATATTATGGAGAGAAGGAGAGAAAAAAGGCACCACAAAGAATATCGGCTCTATTTTGCTAATGGAGATTCAAGAAAGAAAAAGATGTTTCGGCAGGTGTTTGCTTTTTTATGTACGGCGCCAATATTTCACAGAGATCTGGAAGATTACCCGACCGAACATGGCTTTTTCTTAATAGCACAATGGCATAATGTACTTTTGCAGAATACCAATACCTTCGTGGAGGAGTACAGAAGGCATGCCTGCAATTTTAAGGAGGCTGTAGCAGAAACGCTCTGCTCCCAGTCTGCCCATGTGTCAGCACAAACCAGGAGTCAGCTATACCAAGAGAGAAAGTGTGTATGTATGTATGTGTGTGTGTGTGTGTGTGTGTGTGTGTGGGGGGGGGGGGGGGGAGATTGGAGCATCATTAGCTGCTGTTGCCGGGCAGAAGTGGTCATAGCCTGGAGTTTTCTCCATCTTCATGCAACAGTGTGTCCCCCGTACAGGACTCTAGGAGGCGACCAAGCTCGACCCATCGCTAATTAGCAACGCACGCTCTTTTTTCCCCCCTTTTTCTTCACAGGCAGTCATTATTTTCCACCTCCTCCATCCTTTGTCTTTAGTATTCGAAATACCGAACCACCACTTTCCCTCCGTCCGTTCGCATCAGTTGTATTCCCTTCCTTTGGTGCTCTCTCATCGTCTTCTTACCTACTCACCTACCAAATTGGCAACGTGCAAGCTGTGTTTGGCAACGTGGCATCGCGTGCAATCATGATAATTCTGACACGTGTCACGAATCGAAACAAATGGCATACTCGTGACCCGCGGACGAGCAGACAAGAACGCTCCAGAACGACTACACCACCATCGCGTTCATTGTTTTCCATTACTAGGGACAGCAGGTTGGAGGTGGGATGTCCTTGCTGGCTGTCATTCATTCATACTGAATAAACCCGGGCCCTACCGGTGCTCTCTAAGCTGTTAATGGTTTGCCTGCTTGTGTCAGTCATATTGTTTGCTTCTATAGTGCTGAAAAGACAAAACAAAGTTTATGCAATCATATGTTAAATGTTTAAGTGTAACACCTAAATTGCCACAATGCAGTAAATCTCACTCATCTGGTGCCTCAAGTTCAGAAGCCCTGGGAGGCGAGTGAGAGGGAATAAAACCATGCTGAAGTCTTTCTCTGCTGTGTTTATGCCTTAAGAACAGCTGGAAAACAAGGTTTTACCAGGATAATCTTTCCTTATAGTTGTACTTACTTCTTCAAGGTTTAGCAGGTGATTTGTGTGTGTTATTGTCATATTTGTTTAGGCCACAAGAAGCTGAAGTGCACCTCGACCCCATGTTCTCAATAGCAGGAAAAGCGTTCCTTTTTTTTTTTTCACATACCTTGCTAGCACACAGTACCTTGTGTTTAGAGCACATGAAGAAACACCTCCCATGGCCAAAATGAGTATTATGACAACAATTTGAAAAAAAAAAATGATCCTGAGAAAATATATATATATTTACCTGCCAAAACTTTTATTTTTTTCCTCCTGTGGAAAAAAGTAACTCAGAAAAATGATCCCGTTCACCTGTTCTTACGTCATAAACACAGGAGAGAATCAGACTTGGATAATCTGAATTTGTTTTTTCCTCACTTGGCTCTGAGGGCTTCCATACTCTAGGAAGAGTAGTCAGACTCTCACAATTGCTTTCCAACTTCTATTTAATACAGGAAAAATACAGCACACACGTGGGAAATGCAACACTCGTCCTCGACTCATTTGTTCC